CTTCGCTCCCGTGCGCTCCTGCAGGAAATGACCCCTGCTGGGGAGGGATCTCAGTGCGGTATAATGCCATGGAGCCCACCCTTCAAAGCAGCCAGCTCCACTGGGCAAACTGAGTAGAGGTCCATGAGTGGCTCTTAGCCACAAGGTATAGATGGAACACTCTGTCTGGGGCAGGGATGCTCTGTATTCTTGGTGCTCGGGGGGCAACAGCAGGAGGGCTTCTGGAGTTCTGGCCCCGCTGGTGGACCTCCTGATGGCACCTGGGTTTTGGCCACTGTGTGACACAGAGGGTTGGACTGGATGGGCCATTGGCCTGATCCACCATGGCTTCTCTTATGATCTTATGTTCTTAACATTTCAGGAGATGACTGAAATGTTATATGCAGGATTCAAGGAGCCAAGTGATGAGGAGGAAGTGAGATTGTGTGTGAGATACAGAGGGGATGTGTGTATATGTGTCTGAGGAAGATCATGTGTGTTGGAGAGGGTGGGACTTCTTGAGTTCTTCTAGCCCCGCTGTTGGACCTCCTGATGGCACCTGGGTTTTGGCCACTGTGTGACACAGAGTGTGTGATTGGATGGACCACTTGTCTGATCCAACATGGCTTCTCTTATGATCTTATATCCATCATCTGTAAATTAGTTGAAATTCTGGGAGATCTTCATGCTCCACCTGGAATCTAGCAACCCAGAGGATAGATCACAGTTTAGAACCTCACCTCCTTCCAGGTCCCTGTCTCTTTTGCTACCTTTGCTTTTCAAATCAAGGGAAGTTTTGCTGCCCACCTCTCTCTCACACACACAAAGGCAAGCAAACATGCTCTTGAACTCTTCCCTGCCTGTATAAAGGTAAAGGTCTCCCTTGCTCGAAAGGCAGTCGAATCCGACTCTAGGGTTGCGGTGCTCATCTCCATTTCAAAGCCGAAGAGCCAGCGCTGTCCGAAGACGTTTCTGTGGTCATGTGGCCAGCATGACTAAACACCAAGGCGCACAGAACGCTGTGACCTTCCCACCAAAGTGGTACCTATTTATCTACTTGCAATTTCTTGCTTTCGAACTGCTAGGTTGGCAGGAGCTGGAACTAGAGACGGGAGCTCACTCCGTCTTGCGGCACCTGAGTCTCGAACTGCTGAACTACTGACCTTCCACAGCCTGCAGTTCAGTGTCTTAACCACTTGAGCCACCGCAGTTCCTGCCTGTATAGTCCTGTCTTTTTGTTTAGCTCTGCGGTTTCACTAGGCTTTTTGAGGGGGTGAGGCTGGAAGGAGCATTCCTTCGTTTGCGTTGGCCTTCTTGAGAAAGGAGCTCTCTCCCACCAACTCTTGAAGCACCTACCTATGAGGTTGTCACTGCAGATGACACAAAATTATTCAGGATGGCGAAAACCAAGGCTGACTATGAAGCGCTCCAAGAGGACCTCCGCAAACTGGGTGAGGGGGTGACAATGTGACAAATGAAGTTCAGTGCTGGTGTAAAGCAATGCACATTGGGACCCAAAAAATAAATCCCAACTTCAAGTATAGGCGAATGGGGTCTGAACTTGCCGAGTCTGAGAGAGAAAAAGATCTTGGGGTCGTAGTGGACAGCTCAATGAAAGTATCAACCCAGTGTGCTGCAGCAGTGAAAAAGACATCTATGTTAGGGATTATTAGGAAAGGGATTGAGAATAAAAAGACCAAATGCCCCTGTATAGATCTATGGTGCAACCTCATTTGGAATAGCGTGTACAGTTCTGGTTACCATATCTCAAAAAGGACATTGCAGAGTTGGAAAAAGGACAGAAGTGGGCAACCAAGATAATTAGAGGGTTGGAGCACCTTCCCTTTGAGGAAAGGCTGAAGAGTCTGGGACTTTTCAGTTTAGAAGAGACAACTAAGGGGGAACATGATAAAGGTTTATAAAATGATGCATGGGGAGGAGTGGACAAAGCTACATTTTTCTTCCTCTCTCAAAAGACTAGAAGAGTATCCAATGAAGCTGACGGGCAGTAGGACAAAAGGAAATACTTTACACAGAGAGTGATTAAAATGTAGAATTTGCTGCCAGAGGATGCAGGGATGGCCGCAGGCAGGGCTTTTTTTGTAGAAAAAGCCCAGCAGGAACTCATTAGCATAATAGGCCACACCCAACAGCAGACACTCGTTAGCATATTAGGCCACACCCTTGACAGCACATTAGCATATTAGGCCACACCCCCATGTTACCAGAAGTGTGGTCATCCAGCCACACCCACCTTTTGCTTCTTATTCTGTTTACCTTGTTTGTTGTCAAGACCCAGGGCTTTTCTTGTAGCAGGAACTCCTTTGCATGTTAGGCCACACACCCCTAATGTAGCCAATCCTAATGAGTTTCTGATGTTGGGTGTGGCCTATTATGCTAATGCGTTCCTGCTGGGTGTGGCCAACTCAGGAGCCAGCCGGAACTCCGTTCCTGTGCGTTCCTGCCCAAAAATAGCCCTGGGGCCCACAGGAATAAACAGCTTTAAAAGGGTATTAGGGAGATTCACCGAGGATAAGTCTATCAATGGCTACCAGCCATGGTGTCTGAGGGGAACCTCCACATTCAGAAGCATTAAACCTCTGAATCCCAGAGCCAGGAGGCCACCTCAGAGAAAGGCCTTGACCTCTGTGCCTTGTTGTTGGCTGTCTAAAGGAACCAGTTGGCCACCGTGTGAGACAGGATGCTGGACTAGGCTCTTCTTATGTAAAAACTTCACTGGCCCCTTTTCTTCTGGATAGAGCCTCCAGTGTTTGGAAACAGTTTCATTGGTTGTGGATTTTCTGGCATCCTGGGTCAGAAAGATGTTGCTGGATCACTGCGATGCACACACAGGAATACAAAGGGATTAGAAAGGTCACTGATAGCCACAGGGAGGCAAAATCCTTCAGGGTCAACCTTAGAGTCCCTGTAGAGCCAGTCTGGTGTAGTGGTTAAGTGTGCGGACTCTAATCTGGGAGAACCGGGTTTGATTCCCCACTCCTCCACTTGCACCTGCTGATGTGACCTTGGGTCAGTCACAAGCTCTGGCACAGCTGTCCTTGGAAAAGAGCAGTTTCTGTCAGAGCTCTCTCGGCCCCGCCCACCTCACAGGGTGTCTGTTGTGGGGAGGGGAAGGGAAAGGAGTTTGTAAGCCACTCTGAGACTCCAAGTGAAGGGCGGGGTGTAAATCCAATCTCTTCTTCTTCTTCTAGTAGTTACAGCATCAGACTAAGACTTGAGAGACCAAGATTCATATCCCCTCTTTGCCATGAAACTCACTGGGTGACCTTGGGCCACTTTCCCTCAGCCCAACCTACCTCGCCTGGTTGTTGTGGGGATAAAATGAGAGACTATGTACTCCTTGAAAGAAGGGTAGGATAGAAATGAACTGAATCAATTAACTAGCGTATATCTTTCTACACTGTACCCGTTTGGGGAGCCAGGAAGCATATTTATACGCTGTCCCCTGAGCATGTGCCGTCACAAGACGTCTTATGAGTCTATCATTCAAAGAAATCAAAGTTTAAAGCAGGGGTCTCCAACGTGGTGCCCGTGGGCGTTACGGTGCCTGTTGGTGCTTTTCCTGGTGCCCACTAGAGTGCTTTTATAATGTGGGTGGAGCCACCTAGGGCTTTTGCCCAGCAGGGCTTCGGATTGGCTGTGCAGATTTAAAGGCGTCCCCGTTAAGCAGAGCTTCTGTCTGCCTGGAAAGTTAGTATTAGAGCTATGCATAACTTTGCTCCCTGGCATTTTGTGGTTGGCTCCACCTCCCATGGCAGCCATTCTGGGGTTGCACCCACCACCCTGTCTCAGAATTCCAAAGGTGCCCGCACACTCAAAAAAGGTCGGGGACCCCTGGCTTAAAGAAAGCTGGTTCAGGGGCTGAACAGCCAGAAAGGAGCCGGAACATGGACACGACTCTCTTCAGGCAGCCAAGAACTTCCGTCTGAAGATGCTGGCTTTCGGGGATGGTTGCATTTTTGTGCCAAGACCCTTGGGGAGGGCAGTATGTCAGCTATGCTGCCATGAAGGTTGGGAAGGTTGGTCTGTGTCTGGTTAATTGCTACCGCATTCCTTTCTGTGCTTTCTCTGCTGTGCGCCGAAACGCTTATCTATACAGATGTGCAGGAGGGTGTTGTAGTGTCTGGGATTTCCCTAGGTGCCGTGGGAGAATGTTCGTTCCCAGCTTCAGTTACCTAACGGTCTCTAAGCCTTATCCCGCGCGCCGGAGGGTGCCTAATTGGCCAGTGCTGTGGGGGGGGGGGTGCATACGAATACCCTATATCCTATTATGCCCATGGGGCTGCTGCCATTCTTAACAGTGCCTATGCTACTGCATCTATAGCTCTGCAATAAAAGTATAACCATTCCTGAATGCATGTACTACGTTGTTGGCTGTGGGTTCTGACAGGCGGTGATTTGAAAAACTTCTTCCCCCTCCCATCTCCCTCCCCACTCACTCCTCAGCCAGTTTTGAACAGGTGAGAATTCAGCAAAGCCCTGATGTATTTATTTTTTAAAGACCCCCTAAGCATCGCGAGCCCAGGGTTTGCAAAATTAACCATTGCCAGAGGATGTTGATAAAGAAGGCCCGTCCCAAACACACAAAATAGCCCGTCGGTTTATTACAAACAGAATATGTACAGAGGGGTAGCCATGTTGGTCTTCACTAGGAGAGCTAGAGCTGAGTCCAGTCGCACGTTAGAGAACGCAGCAGGCCCCCTGACCTGGATAGCCCCAGGCAAGCCCGATCTCGTCAGATCTTGGAAGCTAAGCAGGGTCGGCCCTGGCGAGTACGTGGATGGGAAACCTCCAAGGAATACCAGGGCTGGGAGGGAGAGGCAGGCCATCAAGCTGCTTCTCTGAAGATCCTCCGTGCCCCAGTAGGAGTTGCCAGAGTTTGCCATGACTTCCAGGCACAGGCGCGCACACACACACAGACACACACAAATGCAAAAAATACCAAAAAAGATAATGTGGTAGAACAGGCCTGCTCTGGGAGTCCTGTCCCTCCCAACGGGCAATTCCTTGCAAAGGTCAGGTGGTGGCAGCAGGGCACCCGAGAATGAATGAAAAGCCTCTCCGGGGGTCGAGAAAAACCTAGGAGGGCAGGGCGGAATGGGCCCCTTCTGCCACAGAGAACAACAGGATTTTCAGGTTATCCAGGAAACAAAGGATTGACTCTCGATAGCTCATACCCCAAAAATCGTGTTGGTCTCTAAGGAGCTCCTGGATTCAAATCTAGCTCTAGACTATGTACAGTTAATGCATGACTGCCCCATATGCTTTTATACAGATGTTTATTTTGTAGCCATGTCCTTCAACACCCCCTCGCCATCCTCCCACAAGCTGCCTCTCCACACAAACGTCCCAAATCCTATTGCCTAGAGAGCTCCTTTTCCCCTATTCATCTTCAGTTAGACAACATCGCGAAAATAACTTTTCAAAAGACTTGCTTTGTGTTTTACGGTGGATGGGAACAATCCAGCGACTCTTCTCCTAATCTGAACAATTCTTCTATGGCTTCTCTCCTGTTTGGGTGACTTCTTTACCCCCCACCCCCCCATGCATAAAACGATTAGACGGGCTACTAAGTTTTAGATTTACTTTCCTCTACAGCTTCTAAAAAAATTCCGGGGAGGGGGCAGGGGAATAAAAGAGGGTCTGGTTCAGCATAAAAGCCGCTGCTTGGAACATTCCTAAGATTTCTCCTGGAATGGAATCTTCGACGCTTAACGAGGGGCTAAACTACCCAGGACCCAATTTATAGTCAGATGTGCAATCCAAGTCACGTTTAAGAGCACTGCAGGGCCCAGTTCTGCTCGGGAACACGACACAGGATCGGAGAGGCTTCGGCCCTCCCCCCAGTGCTGTTTTCCCCAACTGAAAGGGCCGCGGGGGCCCTGTTTGACTCATTGTGAGCAAACAGGGTGCCCTGCGGCCATTTCGGCTAGGGAAGACGGCATGGGAGGGGAAGGCTGAAGTTATTATCCAGTTCGGCCCTAGGTTGGGACATTCTTTCTCTCAGCCATCTGCCCAATGGAAATATTTAATGTTTGTAAGTTATCTTTGTGAGTTCTTTTATGGACCACCAGGTGGGCACTGCAGGTAAAGCTTCTCCCGCAGGTGAGGCACGTATATGGTTTCTCCCCTGTGTGGATCCTCTGGTGCTGCATGAGATGTGCGCTCTGGCTGAAGCTCTTCCCGCAGGTCCCGCACTTGTACGGCTTCTCGCCCGTGTGGGTCCTCTCGTGCTTCACCACATCCGAGCTGGTCGTGAAGCTCTTCCCACATAAGGAGCACTTGTACGGCTTCTCCCCCGTGTGTATCCGCTTGTGTTTCACCAGGTCTGAGCTGGAGCGGAAGCTCTTCCCGCACACCGGGCACTTGCACGGCTTCTCCCCCGTGTGGGTCCTCTCGTGCTGGGTCAGGATCATGCTCTGGGTGAAGCTCTTTGCGCAGTAGGAGCATTTGTAAGGCCTCTCCCCCGTGTGGCTGCGCTGATGCTTCACGAGGCCCGAATTGGAGGCGAAATTTTCCCCACAGGTCAGGCAGGAGTAGGGCTTCTCGCCCGTGTGGGTCCTCTCGTGCTGGATCAAGTTAGAGCTCCGCTTGAAACTCTTCTCGCAGAGGGAGCAGTTGTACGGCTTGTCCTCCGTGTGGGTCTTTTTGTGGTTCACAAAGTTCGAACTGGTGATGAACCTCTTGCCACAATCAGGGCACTGATAGGGTCTCTCCCCGGTGTGGGTTCTTTGGTGGGTCATGAGATGAGCATTGGAGCAGAAGCTCTTCCCGCACAGGTAGCATTTGTATGGCTTCTCTTTGGTGTGGAACCTTTCGTGGACGATGAGATAGGACCGCTGGCTGAACCTCTTCTCGCAAACCGAGCACTGGTACGGCTTCTCTCCGGTGTGGATCCTCTCGTGCTTGACGAGGTCGGAGCTCTGGTGGAAGCTCCTCCCACAGTCGGCGCATTTGTACGGCTTCTCCCCCGTGTGGTTTCTCTTTTCGTGGCTGATGAGGCTGGAGATGCTGCAGAAGCTTTTGCCGCATTCGGTGCAGATATAAGAAGTCACTTCGACGGGGTTGCCGACTTCTAACCCTGGGATGAGGTCCGGCGGAACCTCCGGTCTGTGTTGAATCCCATAGATTCCTCCCATGACGGGGAACCCAGAAAGGTCTTCTGTCATTTCCAGCAACAGCTCAGGCTTGGGACTTTTCAGATCAGAAAGGTCTTCTGTCGTTTCCAGCAACAGCTCAGGCTTGGGACTTTTCAGATCAGAAAGGTCTTCTGTCGTTTCCAGCAACAGCTCAGGCTTGGGACTTTTCAGATCAGAAAGGTCTTCTGTCGTTTCCAGCAACAGCTCAGGCTTGGGACTTTTCAGATCAGAAAGGTCTTCTGTCGTTTCCAGCAACAGCTCAGGCTTGGGACTTTTCAGATCAGAAAGGTCTTCTGTCGTTTCCAGCAACAGCTCAGGCTTGGGACTTTTCAGATCAGAAAGGTCTTCTGTTGTTTCCAGCAACGGCTCAGGCTTGGGACTTTTCAGATCGATAGCCTCCTCGTTCTCACTCATTTGTTCGCCCATGGCTGGAATTAAAAAAAACCCACAAAGAACAATATAAATACAACACAGACTCTGGGTACTTTGTACTGTGATAGTAACCCCTCTTGCTGCTCCACTGCAGACTGCATGCATGGGATGCTGCTTCAGGTGGGAAAAATGCTCCACATGAAAAAGGGAGAAGCATTCTGGGTGTGGAATAAGGGTCTCTGGGTGTGTGTGTGTGGGGGGGGAGGCATTTGTGGACTAGATGACCCTGGAGGTCCCTTTCAACTCTATAATTCTATTGTTCAGGGAGGGGCTGTGGCTCCATGGGAGAGCCTCTGCTTGACATGCAGAAGGTCCCAGGTTCAGTCCCTCGGCATCTCCAGTTAAAAAGGACCAGGTGATGTGAAAGAGTCCACTTGAGACTCAGGACAGCCACTGTCAGTCTCAGTAGACTGTACCGATCTTGATGGACAGAGAGGTTGGATTCAGTGAAAGGCAGCTTCACGTGTTCTTCTAGCCTAACCTCCTCTCTGAGAAAGGGAGTTTTTTCTTCCTTTCACAGAATACCAGAACTCAGGCTCAACCGACAAGGTCAATTGTTCAGTAGATTCAAGATGGGCTAAAGAAAGTACCTTCTGCACACAGCAAGCAATTAAGTTGTGGAACTCACTGCCACTGGATGGTAACCGTCATGTGCCCAGACAGCTTTAAAAGGGGATTAAACAAATCCAGGGAGCATACAGGCCTGACTAACAGTTGTGGGGGGTGAGGGAAATGAGAGAGGGAGACTTCGGCCTGTGTGTCTGATTTGTGGGCCTTCCATGTGCACCTACCTGGCTAACATGGACAGTAGGATGCTCGATTAGACAGACCCCGAATCTTAATCATCAGGGCTCGTCAGATGTTTGTTTAGGCTAATTTTCTACGTGCATCAAGATGTTGGTTTTTTTCGGATGAAGGATATTCAGTCCTCTGAAAGCCTGGGCGGTGGAGTGGCTGGAATGTTGGGACTAGGATCTGGGAAACCTGGGTTCGAATCCTCTGCCGTGAAGCTCACCGGGTGACCCTGGGCCAGTCACATTCTCTCAGCCTGGCTTATCCCATAGGGTTGTTGTGAGATAAAATGGAGAAGGGGGGGATCACGTACACTACCCTGAGCTCCTTGGAGGAAAAGGAGGACACAAAGGTATAAAGTAGGGCAGGGGTCATTTCGTAGAAAAAGAGCTAGGGGAACTCATTAGCATAACTCATTAGCATATGCCACACCCCCTGACATCATAAGGCCCGGCGGTGGACCTGCAAGGCTGGCGGGAGTGCGAGGAAGCCCCGCCAAGGCCCTCCCTGGCCCCAGGCAGGCAGGGGTGGGGAGAGGTGGGGAGGAAGCAACTTACCCTCCCTCTTCTCCTGCCTCCTCCTGGATGAATGAGGGCCGGAAGCAGGCAGCCGGAAGCAGGGGGCGGGGCTTTGTTGTGTGCCCCGCCCCCCCACACCTCACCCGGGGGAACTGCGTTCCCCCGCGAACCCCCCCGAAATGACCTCTGAAGTAGGGACTAAAAAAAAGGTAGAATACAATTCATGGGGTAGGGCTGTGGCTCAGTGGCAGAGCAGAAGGTCCCAGGTTCAATCCCCGGCATCTCCAGTTAAAAGTATCTGGCAGGAAGAGATCTGAAAGATCTCTGCCGGAGACCCAGGAGAGCCGCTGCTGCCGGTCTGACAATTCTGACTTCAATGGACCAAGGGTCTGGCTCAGTAGAAGGAAGCTTCTTCATACCTTCATGTGTTCAGTCCACACAGTATCTTTCACTGGCGGTGGAAAGTTTTGTCAAGTCGACTTATGTCGATCCCTCATGGAGTTTTCAATGGGAGCTGGGGTGGCTCAAGTGGTTAAGACGCTGAACTGCAGGCTGTGGAAGGTCAGTAGTTCAGCAGTTCGAGACCCGAGTGTGCCGCATGACAGAGTGAGCTCCCGTCTCTAGTACCAGCTCCTGCCAACCTAGCAGTTGGAAAGCAAGAAATTGCAAGTAAATAGGTACCCCTTCGGTGGGAAGGTAACAGCGTTCTGTGCGCCTTGGTGTTTAGTCATGCCGGCCACATGACCACGGAAATGTCTTCGGACAGCGCTGGCTCTTCGGCTTTGAAATGGGATTCGACTGGCTTTCGAGCAAGGGAACCTTTACCTTTACATGGAGTTTTCAAGGCAAGGGATGAACCGAGGTGGTTTGCCGTTGCCAGCCTCTGCATAGGGACCCTGGACATAGAGGCCGAGGCCTTCCCCGATGCGGCTTCCTGGCTCCGGGATTCAGAGGATTATTGCCTCTGAATAGGGAAGTTCCTCTCATGTCACCATGGCTAGTAGCAAGTGATAGACTTAAAACTCCATGAATCGATGTAATCTCCTTTTAAAGCTATGGCCATCACTACATCTTCTGGCAGTGAATTCCACATTTTAATCTCTCTCTGTCAGACAGGGGATAAGAAGAAGATAAGAACATAAGAAGAGCCCCGCTGGATTAGACCTGGGGTCCACCTAATCCAGCATCCTGTCTCACACAGTGGCCAACCAGTTCCCCTGGACAGCCAACAACAGGGCATAGTGGCCAAGGCCTTCCCCTGAGGTTGCCTCCTTGGCTAACATGACACCGAAGAAAATAGCAAATATGAACCAAAATATGTCAAATAGATGTTGGAAATGTAAGAAACATGAAGGCTCATTTTACCATATGTGGTGGACATGCGAAAAGGCTGTGGATTTTTGGACAAAAATCCACAATGAGATACAAAAAATATTGAAATGCTCTTTTAAAAAGGCACCAGAGATTCTGCTTTTAGGACTTAAAATGGAAGAAGTTAATGTAACAAAAAAGACTTTACTCTGGTACTTAATAACAACAGCGAGAATGATTTATGCACAATATTGGAAAATAGATAAAGTGCCAGAGATAGAAGATTGGATACAAAAAGTTCTGTTCATGGCAGAGATGGATAAAATTACAAGAAAATTAAACAACAGAGAAGACGAAGAATTTTTGGAAGAATGGAAGGACTTTAAAATTTATCTGGAAAAGAACTGGGATGTGAAGCAAAGTTTACTATATTTAGAACAATATTAAATCAACTGATTGTTATCTAAAGATTTTAATGTTAAGAAAAATGAGACTATTTAACGTTATACTGAAAAAAGTGATAAAAAGGGAAAAGCATTGTGGGAAGCCGAGGAGGGGGGGAGGTATTGGGAATAGGGTGAATGAAATGTAATGGAAACTATTAATTGTGTTAGCTATATGAATTCTCAATGAATGAAAAATAAAAATTTTGTTTACCAAAAAAAAATAATCCCCTTTTAAAGCTGTGGCCATCACTACATCCTCTGGCAGTGAATTCCACCCAGGGTCCATCCAGTCCACCATCCTGTCTCACACAGTGGCCAACCAGTTCCTCTGGAGGGCCAACCACAGGGCATAGAGGCCGAGGCCTGCCCCTGATGTGGCCTCCTGGCACCAGGATTCAGAGGATTAGTGCCTCTGAATGTGAAGGCTCCCCTCAGTCACCCTGGCATCATGTTGTGGGTGTGTGTTGTGTAAAGTGCAGTTTAGTCATAGCTGACTTATGGTGAACCCATGGGTTTTTCAAGGCAAGAGACTTCAGAGGTGGTTGCCTGCCTCTTCATACCGACCTTGGACTTTCTTGGTGGTCTCCCATCCAAATACTAACCAGGGCCGACCCTGCTTAGCTTCCCAGATCTGATGAGACGGGGCTAGCCTGGGCCATCCAAGTCAGGGCAGCGGTTAAGAGTGTAAGAGTCTCAGACTCGTATCTGGAAGACCCGGGTTCAAATCGTCGCTCGTGCCACGGAACCTCGCTAGCTGCACTTTACAACTTGGGCCTGTCATGCCGTCCCAGTCTAACTTACCTCACAGGGTTGTTGTGAAGATAAAATGGAGGAGAGGAGAATGATGTCAGCTGCTTCGGGGTCCCCACTGGGGAGAAAGGCAAGGCATAAAAGAATGAAGAAAATGAAATTAAAAAAATAAATAAATTAGAAATCTGGAGTCAGGACAGGGAATAGAAATCCCAGACTCAAAATCTTCCCATCTGGCTGCCAAGGTTGCCTCTGGTATCACAGACACACACCCACCCACCCACACACAACTATGGATTTCTGCTGCTACCTTCAAAGCTGAAATGGACAAAGGGCTCATTAACTCTCTCATCTCCAGTATGAACAAGGAGAGAGGATCTGGCAAAGCCCCTTCCCTTTATTATGCATCCGAGTTGCTTCCTTTCCACACAGCAGCCAGGAGACACAAAAATAACAAGAGTATCCTAAAAGCTCTCTATGAAGATAGATTCAGGTGGGAGATCTGTGTCGGTTTGAAACAACTGAACAAAGTTGGGAGTCCAGGGGCACCTTTAAGACCCACAACGTTTAATCCTGGGGATAAGCTTTCCTGGGCACGCACACTTCTGCAGATGCCCAGGATTAAACTTTGTTGGTCTTAAAGGTGCCCCACTGGACTCCCAACGTTGTTCTAAAAGCTGTCACTTTCCCCCCTTTTTGCCGTCAAGTCGCAGCCGACTTATGGTGACCCAGTAGGGTTTTCAAGACAAGAGATGAGCAGAGGTGGTTTCCCACTGTCTGCCTCTGCCTCCTGACCCTGGTATTCTTTGGAGCAGTGTTCCCTCTAAGCTGAGTTAGTGTGAGCCAGCTAGTGTGGCTCACATCATTTTTGTCTTAGCTCAGGAAGGATGGGCTCCAGAACAAACTAATTGATGCAGTAACCAAATCGCTCGCTCACAACTTTAATGCCAGTCGCTCACAAACTAGAATTTTTGCTCACGAGACTCCACAACTTAGACGGAACATTGCTTTGGAGGTCTTCCATCCAAGTACTAACCAGGGCCAACCCTGCTTAGCTTCCGAGATCTGATGAGATCGGGCTATCCTGGGCCATCCAGGTCAGATTGGGAGGGACGGAAGAGCCCCGTGCCCAAACTATTGCTCTGAGAGGAAGCAGTTGATGGGCGGGGCCAGTGCTGTTGGCCCCGCCATCAACTGCCTCCACTTTTGTATACAGAGCCCCTCCAGAACATGCAAGCACCCTGTCACATTTGAAGGAAACTGTACCTCCGAGTAGCCTTAGGGATCACCAAATATTTCAGAATCTAGAAGGAAAAAGAAGAGGGGGAAAAAAAGATTTAACATTACAACGACGTTCTTGCAATGGGATACCGGCAGGCTTGCTAACTGGGTCAGGATATTCCTGGAGATTTGGTGGTAGATAAGAACATAAGAGATGCCAATGTTGGATCGGGCCAAAGGCCCATCCAGTCCAACACTCTGTATCACACAGTGGCCAGAAATACCAGTGCCATCAGGAGGTCCACCAGTGGGGCCAGGGCATTAGAAGCCCCTCCCACTGTTGACCCCCCCCCCCAGCACCAAGACGACAGAGCATCACTTGCCCCAGAGCCCCTATCTATACCTTGTGGCTAATAGCCACTGATGGACCTCTGCTCCAGATGCTTATCTAATTCTTTTTTGAAGCCGTCCATGCTTGTAGCCGCCACCACTTCCTGTGGCAGTGAATTCCAAGTGTTAATCACTCTTTGGGTGAAGAAGTACTTCCTTTTATTCGTTCTAACCCGACCGCTCAGCAATTTCACGGAGTGCCCACGAGTTCTTGTATTGTGAGAAAGGGAGAAAAGTACCTCTTTCTCTACCTGCTCTATCCCATGCATAATCTTATAAACCTCGATCATGTCACCCCTCAGTCATCGTTTCTCCAAGCTAAGGAGCCCTAAGCGCCTTAACCTTTCCTCATAGGGGAAGTGTTCCAACCCTTTTATCATTCGAGTTGCCCTTTTCTGCACTTTTTCCAAAGCTATAATATCCTTTTTAAGGTGTGGTGACCAGAACTGCACACAGTATTCCAAATGGGGTCGCACCATTGATTTATATAGGGGCATTATGATATTGGCTGATCTGTTTTCAATACCCTTCCTAATAATTCCCAGATCGTAGGATAGGTGGGGTATGGGGAGGAGAGAGACCTCAGTGGGGTATCATGACACGAAGTGTAGCCTCCAAAGCACCCATTTCCTCGATGGGGACTGATCCCTGTCCTCTAGAGGACAACTGTAATCCCAGGAGATCTCCAGGTCCCACCTGGAAGTTGGCAGCCCGGCTCACCAAGAACCTGTAAAATTCCTAGGCTAGTTACAAAGAAAGTGATATCTCAGGAAGGGAGCTTTTGACTCCTGAAAGCTTGTACCCCCCCCCCCAAAAAAAATCTTGTCGCTGTCTGAGGTGCGACTGGACTAGAATCTAGGGAAAGCTGGGAGGCATCAATATTGAGGGAAGCCCCGTGCCTTTTGGACTTTCGTGTGAAAGGTGCTGGAGAAACCCTGTTGTTCTGACAGCAAAAAAGACACAAGGGTTGCCAACTTTTCGGCTGGCCTCTGTCGCTATGCCTTGCTCATGGGCACCGTGGGGGAGCTCCACCTGTTGCTTTCCGTTCACCCAGCGGTCCTTAGAGCCACAAGAGCGGGCCGAGCCGATTTTTTTTGTTTTATTGGTCAGTTGGCCACCTCAAAGCCCCCCACCCCAAATAGGCTCCGACCGGCCACCGCCCCGCAGAGAGGAGCGCAGAAAACGACGCTC